ACAAACAAGGGACTCTTGAACAACTATCAGTAAACAAAAAAACACAGCTGTGGATCATTCAGGTAACAACACAGTATTAAGAATCAAGGGTATGTAAACTTTTGAACGGGGTCATTTTTATAAATTCAACTATTATTTTCTCTTGTGGACTATATGTGAACATCTTTTATGTGAAATATCTTATTCAGGTCAGCACTAAATAAACAATAACATGCATTTTGTATGATCCCTTTTATTTTGGTAAAATAATTAACATTTTGCAGATTCTGAAAGGGGTATGTAAACTTTTGAGCTCAACTGTAAATAATTAAATGAGTAAATGTAGCAATAAGTATATAAATGGATCAATACACTATGAAATATTTTTTAAAAAACACTGACCTCATTACTGACCATGTATTATTATAAAATATTATTTCATCATTATTCATTTTCATGTTTTTATTTTATAATAACAGGTTTTTATATCAAAATGGCTTTTTTTTTCCAAAAGAAAATGACATTTATTTTCATTTCACAATGAGACTTTTATTTCATAATTACAAACATTTATATCATTCTGTTGTAATCTGCCAGTCAACATAAACGGGGCTGAACCTATTCTGTGATTGGCTAATCCTTTGCCATTGATTATTCTGCCTGGAGCAGGCAGTATGTTTCTAGTGCAAGATTACCAGCTAGCAAAGGTGTGCTGCAAAGTTATACCTACCTTTCATGCAGAGGGATCCACATGGAAGACCTTGATCAAAATGTGATGATTTCTTTAGCTGATCAAATAGATAGACATGATTTTACAGCTTATGCTATTTTGAACCTACATCAAAGATTTGTTATAAATGCCCAGGCACAGGGGCAGCTGGTATAAACATGCTAGCAAGGCTAAGCCCTCTGTTTTAAAAAATCAATTTAAGGTTTAATTTTTGGCATCCACATCAGAATTATCATCATAAAAATAGAATGGTATGAAGCGCCTGTCACTACCATCACAGACTCAGTTGAGTGTGCAATGAATATGAACAAGCAGCTAACACTTTCCCCCACTCTTCAACTCAAAAAGAATGAAATAAAACTCTCATTATGAAACAAAAGTCTGATTATGAAATGAAAAAGGGCATTATGAAATTCTTATGAAAAAAAGTCATTTTGAAATAAAAACAGAAGTTTAATGAAAATGAGTATAATGAAGTAATATTTTACAATAGTAAGATTAGTAAAATTTATTTAATTATTTTATTAAATAAATCATTTTATTACTTATATCATAAGTGGTAGTGCAGAGGGTAGTGTCAGGACCCTAAAGCTATGAGGTACCTGGTTTGATCCTGAGCTCAGGTTTCTATAGGTTTCTATATATATATATATATATATATAATTTATTCCTAAGAAATTGCACATAACCTTTTTGGCTTCCAAACCTCTCAAATGGCATTGGTTTCAAGGGCCATAGCAAGATATATAGTAACAGTTCTCACCCACTAAGATAAATAGATTGCCAGGTTGATTGCCAATTTAATATATTTGACATTGAATATAGAGAGATGCACCTCTATGATCAAATTGCTTTCAGCTCTTGAGCTTTAGTAGCAGGTTACAGTAATGAAAAGAAAGAAACTTAACTATCTGAGAATTTATAAGATATATACAACAGATCCCTGGAAGACTAGTGGTTAGGCCACGGCGTTCATACTGCAGCGGCATGGGCTCAATTCCCGGCCAGGGAACTGACCCCAGCCACTGGGGTTGCACACAACAGTGCACTCCCAGTGCTGGTCCCAAGCCACGACAAAATTGGGGAGGATTGCGTGAGGAAGGGCATCCGGTGTACCAAAAAAAAAAAAAAAAAAAACAAAACTGCCAAATCAAATATGTAGGTCAGTGATCCGCTGTGGCGACCCCTAATGGGAACAGCTGAAAGAAGATGATAATACAAGATGTATACAAGACCTCTGTTAGGGGGAACTTTGGCAATTTTCCAGAGGAATCAGGAGGATTGGCTTTAGTTGTGCCAGGTCCACTGGCCTTAATGGTAGGCCTTGTTTGGCTAGTGTTTGGAAGATGGGAAAAATAAACCAACAGTGACACACTTAAACATTCAACATCTGTACTTTCTATTGTGTTTTATTGAAATTTTCACACTTATTTTCTCCAGCATTTTACTGCTGGATCTTACTGTACAGAACATTATGCCCAGCACTGACTAACCTAACATTTTACTGAATTAAACTGAGTTTTGAAATTGATCACAACCAGATAACTAGCGAAACTGTTGTACGCCAGCTTGCGTATCCACTCCCAGAAAGAAATTCACTTACAGAGTTAATTAAACCATTTTGCAATGCTGCATATGCATTCACTCTCAGACCGTAACGAACAGCAAAAAGTTATTTTTAGACCTACACTCCTAGGCCTAATATATCAATGACAAGTTTATCTGACAATGACTGAGATTGTGTACATGCATGGAGCTCTACGATGGACTGGTTTCCCAGGGTGTATTCCTGCCTTGCGCCCAGTGTACTCAGGATAGGCTAGGGATCCTCTGTAACCCTGACCAGAACAAAGCAGTTACTGATGATGAATGAATGAAAGTTTCTGACGAATTGAAATAGTCAAAGGTTTTAATTTAGATTTAATTTTTTAAATACATCACATTGCCAAATACCAGTTGTTTAGTAAGTTTTTATAGATAATGTTGAACCTGATTAATCTATTCACTGAGAGTTAAAATGTCACTGCACTAGCACCACATATAGTGTTAATCAACAGCTTTTCAGCACAAGTTTTGTGACAGATGAGGCATTCTGTCTTAGATCACAGTAAGCATTTGATCACAAATAAACATTTGATCATGTATGGTTCCTTAGGTTTAGACTCAGGAAGTCAAAGAGGTATCCTATTCATAATAATGCCAATTATTACACCCGCTGTCATCTCATAAGAGTAATTTAGCACCAGCATGCCAAATATGAAATTTCACATAGATAAATTTTCACATCAATAGCATAGAAGAATTGATGCAACCCTGATAATGCACTGATAAGATAAATGAGGTACTTTAAGGCAGCGAAAGAGTAAAACCATTAGAGCAGGACATCTTTACTACAGGAGTTAGAAACCCTTGTTCAGACCATAACAACACATTTTGATAATACACCTTGATAGACAGTTTATAGTTTATATCCATTAATAGTAGGTCTCTTTTTCCACCCAACCTGTGAAGAGAACAGAGGAGAAATGACTAAACTTACTGTTCATAGTTATTTAAAGAAAAAAACTTTTTATAATGGGTCCATGGACATGTAGACATATGTGTATGTGTGTGTGTATATACACCCATCAGCCATAACATTAAAACCACCTGCTTAATATTGTGTACGTCCACCTGTAGCTGGTGTGTGGTGAGCGGACTGGCGCCATTGTCCTGTGGCTGCCGTCGCATCATCCAGGTGGATGCTGCACACTGGTGGTGGTTGAGGAGAGACCCCCCCATATGATTGTAAAGCGCTTTGGGTGTACAGCAATACACAATAAAGCGCTATATAAATGCCTCATTCATTCATTCATTCATTTGTGATGCCAAAACAGCTCTTACCTGTTGAGGCATGGACTCCACAAGACCTCTGAAGGTCTGGCACCAGACGTTAGTAGCAACTCCTTTAAGTCCTGTAAGTTGCGAGGTGGGGCCTCCATGGATCGGACTCATTTGTCCAGCACATCCCACAGATGCTCAATCGGATTGAAGTCTGGGGAATTTGGTGGCCAAGTCAACAGCTTGAATTCTTTGTCATGTTCCTCAAACCATTCCTGAACAATTTTTGTAGTGTGGCAGGACGCATTATCCTGCTGAAAGAGGCCATTGCCATTAGGGAATACCATTGCCATGAAGGGGCGTACTTGGTCTGTAACAGTGTGTAGGTAGGTGGTATGTGTCAAAGTAACATCCACATGAATGCCAAGACCCAAAGTTTCCCAGCAGAACATTGCCCAGAGCTTCATACTGCCTCCACTGGCTTTCATTCTTCCCATAGTGCATCCTGGTGCCATCTCTTCCCCAGGTAAACGACACATACACCTGGCCATCCACATGATGTAAAAGAATACGTGACTCATCAGACCAGGCTACCTTCTTCCATTGCTCCATGGTCCAGTTCTGATGCTCATTTGCCCATTGTAGGCACTTTCAGCGGTGGACAGGGGTCAGCATGGGCACTCTGACCGGTCTGTGGCTATGCAGCCCCATATGTAGCAAGCTGCGATGCACTGTGTGTTCTGACACCTTTCTATCATAGCCAGCATAAACTTTTGCAGCAATTTGTGCTACAGTAGCTCTTCTATGGGATTGGACCAGAAGGGATAGCCTTCGCTCCCCACACTCATCAGTAACTCTTGGCCGCCCATGACCCTGTTGCCAGTTCACCAGTTGTCCTTCCTTGGACCACTTTTGGTAGATACTAACCACTGCATACTGGGAACACCCCATGAGACCTGCTGTTTTGGAGATGCTCTGACCCAGTCGTCTAGCCAACACAATTTGGCCCTTGTCAAAGTCACTCAGATCCTTACGCTTGTCCATTTTTCCTGCTTCCAACACATTAACTTTGAGAACTGACTGTTCACTTGCTGCCTGATATATCCCACCCCTTCACAGATGCCATTGTATTGAGATAATCAATGTTATTCACTTCACCTGTCAGTGGTCATAATGTTACGGCTGATCGATGTGTATATATATATATATATGTATGTATAAACCGAGCCATAACATTAAAACTACTGACAGTTTGTCAGTAATGAATGAAGTGAAATGAATAACATTGATTATCTCGTTACAATGGCACCCGAGTCAGTTCTCGAAGTTGATGTGTTGGAAACAGGGAAAATGGGCATGAGTAAGGATCTGAGCAACTTAGACAAGGGCCAAATTGTGATGGCTAGACAACTGCGTCAGAGCATCTCCAAAACGGCAGGTCTTGTGGGGTGTTCCTGGTATGCAGTGGTTAGTACCAGTGACAGGGTCATGGGCGCCCAAGACTGTCTGGTCCAATCCCATGGAAGAGCTACTGTAGCACAAATTGCTGCAAAAGGTAATGCTGGCTATGATAGAAAGGTGTCAAAACACACAGTGTATTGCAGCTTGCTGTGCATGGAGCTGCTTAGTCGCTGACTGGTCGGAGTGCCCACGCTGACCCCTGTCCACAGCAGAAAACACCTACAATGAGCATGTGAGCATCAGAACTGAACCATGGAGCAATGGAAGAAGGTGGCCTGGTCTGATGAATCATGTTTTCTTTTACATCATTTGGACAGCCGGGTGCGTGTGCGTCGCTTACCTGGGAAAGTGATGGCACCAAGATGCACTATGGGAAGAAGGCAAGCCATTGGAGGCAGTGTGATGCACTGGGCAATGTTCTGCTGGGAAACCTTGGGTCCTGGCATTCATGTGGATGTTACGTAGACATGTACCACCTACCTAAACATTTTGCAGACCAAGTCCACCCCTTCATGGCAACGGTATTCCCTACTGGCAGTGGCCTCTTTCAGCAGGATAATGCACCCTGCCACACTGCAAAAATTGTTCATGAATAGTTTGAAGAACATAAAGAGTTCAAGGTGTTGACTTGGCCTTCAAATTCCCCAGATCTCAAATAGATGCTCCAATAGAGCATTTGTGGGTTGTGCTAGACAAACAAGTCTGATCCATGGCGGTCCCACCTTGCAACTTACAGGACTTAAAGGATCTGCTGCTAAGGTCTTGTGCCAGATAGCAGAGCACACTTTCAGAGGTTTTGTGGAGTCCATTCTTCAACAGGTCAGAGCTGTTTTGGTGGCACAAGTGCGACCTACACAATATTAGGTAGGTGGCTTTAATGTTATGGCTGAACAGTGTATAATATACAGTGTATGTCCATAGGTCTGAGACCAGATTGAAAATCTGGGATTTTTTTTTTCATTTAAAATTGGAAATAAACAGATGGTTTTAGAATTTTGAAATATTTAAAACAAAGTATTTAATATTCAACAAATATATAACAAAAATATATAACAAAATATTTAATATTCAAGATACTGCACTATTTCTAGGTCCCTATTTAAATGTAAGAAAATTTGCTATACTGACCATGTTAACTGCTTTGTAGAAAAGGCCAGATTTTCCAATTATATATGTATGTATATACACATACATATATACACATATACACACACATATATGTTACATATGTAGCCATGGCTCTATGACCCCCAGGGCAGTGTTCTGCTGAACTTGTGGAGTATTCCTTTGTGCTCATTTCCTTGTTGAATACCAATAGCAAAGCCATCACTTCTTGTCCCTGACCTCATGTGTGTAGCCTGTAAAAGGCCCTTGCTACAACACACTTGTCCTCTGGTCAATCTTGTCAACACAAGTGACCTTTCATTCTACTTCTTTTTGTTTTAGACTACCAAGGAAGGTTCCTTCAGAACTAGAGGAGTCTGTATATCAAAGTCATTATGAGGGTTTATAACAGCACCAATAAATACACTACTCAAAAAAAACAAAACAAGGGAACACTTAATCATCACAGTATTACACCAAGTCAATTAAACTTCAGAAATATTGCTCTGTCCAGTTAGGAAGCATAAGTGATTGTGAATCAGTTTCACCTGCTTTGGTGCAAATGAAAGTGACAAGTGCACTGGAGAGGCAACAGCAAGGCTACCCCCAAAAAGGGAATGGTTTTGC